GCCCCGGGTGTGGGGTGGGGCGGAGCTCAGGCTGCCCGGCTGCAGAGGGTCTGCACAGGACGACCGCTCCGTCATTGACCAATGCATTCCTTCCAGACTTCGTGAAGTCCAGTAAGACAGAGCCCCCAGCCTGACCCCAGGATCTCAGCACCTCCCCAGGCTGGACGGTCCCCACCCCACTGCCTGCTGGGTCTGGCGCAAGAGTCTTTTCAGCTGGAGGTGACCGAAAGCACAGGGCTTGGCTTTGCTCCCTCTTCTCTGTTCCGTCTCTTTTCTCCGGGGTCCTCCCTCCTCCTGGTCTCCTCCCCACATCACCAGTCCTGGGGTCTGCACTCTGCCTCCCCAGCCCGCGGTAATTGCTGATTGAGTGACTTTGAGGTGCTGTTAAGAGGCCAGGGAGCTGAAGCAGTGCCTGATTGCCTGGCGGCCTGGCGGGACGGCCCTGAAAGGCCCCTTTGTGCTGGCGGCACTGGGAAGCTGCATTCAATTACCAGGAGGCTGCTCCGAGCTGAAAGCTGCAATCGGAGCCCGTGGCCCCTCGCTTGCTTTCTTCTTTTCTCACCCCACCCCCACCCCGAAAAGAAACAGATGTTCACCGAGATGGAGATGAGGCGGAAGCAGCAGTCGCTGAGGCAAAGACCCCTCCTTTGGCTTTGGAGTGCTGGGGGGGTGGGGGGCAGACCGTCCCCTAACCGCCCTGCCCCTCCCTCAGCGCTAGCTCTACCAGGCTCCCAGCTCTGCCCTCTCTTCTTCCCCCCATTAAGAATGCCGCCCCACCAAGAGCCTACCCCTAGTAGGTGGTCCACAGGGAGTAGTAGCTGTTGGACATGGATGATTCGAATGAAAGGGCCTGGGGATCCGGCCCAGACGTGCCCCAGTCTTCAGGGGAAGGAGTGCTTAGTGGGGTGGGAACCTTCTCCCTTCCCAGCTGCCTGACACAAGCCCCCAGCTCCTGGCCCCTTCTGCTCTCTCCCAGGGGATCTTTCAGGCCCCTCACTCCCTCTCTGCTCCTCCCATGCAAACCTACCCTCGCTCTCCCTAGTACCTTTTCTAGCTCTCTGTCATCTGTGAGTGCATGTCTACCCATTCCACAGACCTGCAAACTGAGGCTGAGAGCGAGTAATGGGTCCGAACTGACTCCTCTGCTAAGAGCTGCCACAGCCTCCTCTCACCTGAGAGACTCGTTCACTGCAGGAAGGGCCTGCCGTGATCTGAGGCCGGGGCCTAGGGCTAGCCAGAATTTTGGCCCTCCTCCCCACAGATGATGCTAAAAACCGTCCAAGCCAATTAGAGGGTGGCATGCTAACTAAGGGAAACTCAGGGTGTCCCTCTCTGGTCCCCCACACAGGCAAACCTCGCCGCTCCTGGTGGGAGGAGGCCCCCAGCCTCCTGCCTCATGGCACCTTGCAGCTTGCTAGGACTGCTCCTTCCTCAGCCAGGCATCCGGTGCTCCACCCCCAGCACGTGGGGCCCTCTGCCTGTGCCACCCCTTTGTTCTCCCGGCAGTGGCAGCTGGACAGCAGGCCCAGGAAGCGGCCAGTGCTAGGAGAAATGGGCTGAGGGACTTTGCATTGTCTCGGGCAATTGGCTTTGTCCACCAAGAGGACTGAGGTCCGGGGTGGGAGTGACGGTGGAAGAGTGGCTGAGGCTGTGAAGGAGTGAGGAGAGGGTGTGATCAGAGAGCAAAGCTAGCAGCTGACTGGGGAGTTTTTAGCCCCAGGGTGGGGGAGGAGGGGCTCTCACCCCCTGTGGACTTCCAGGCAGGGGTGTGCAGGTTAGGAGCATGCTTTAGAAAAACACGGGCAGATCTGAGTTCAAACCCAACTCCATCACTTCCTTGGGACAAAAGCCTCGCCCTTTTTTTTTTTTTAATTTTTTACATTAAATACATTAAATTGTTATACATCATTTAGATTGTGAAGAGACTTTACCCAGCATGATATACACCTCAGTCTAGCCCAGTTGAGACCACCATACACATCCTCGTCAACAGATAAGAAACCTTATCTGTGTCCCACAAGTGTCTTACCTCTCCATCTTCCCCCAAATTTCCTACACTCTTCCCCTCCCACACTCTCTTTCCACTTTGTCTCTCGTGTCCATAACAATTTTCAACGCTTTTATGTCCTCCAGTCTTTCAGTCTCTACCACAGAGTGCAGACAGTTGGTGTATGTTAAGTGGAGACATACAGTGTCTCTCTTTCATAGCCTGGCTTGCTTCACTCAGCAACACACCTTCCATATTCGTCCACTTTCTATTGAGTTCCAGGGCCTTGTTGTTTTTTATGGCTGAAAAGCCTCGCCCTTTCTGCATGCACATTCTCACCTCCAAGGCCTCGGAGCCTGGAGCAATAGTAGCTACAACGCAGAGGTGTGAAAACTAAATGCGGCCGCGAGTCAGCATTTTGCCGTCTGGCGCAGCGCCTGCTCCTAGCCGACATCCTGATGGTTCTGCACATGGCAGCTGGCTGGGAGGAAGGACCTGGCGCTCCTGAGAACCAGCCATGCCTCCGTTCACTCAGACCCTTTGGGCCAGGCTGCAGGTGCACTTTCTCCACCTGTAAGGCAGGGCCGGGGTCATCACGCAATCACCTGTGTTGGGCTAGCTGGTTTTTCTGGCTGCGGTCTCTGCACACACACACACACACACACACACACACACACACACCATGTTTTACCTACATTGATGTGACTAGTAACGGCACCTAGGCAGGGGCATTAACGAGGCAGGGTGAGCGAGCCTGGAAGCCTCTGAGCTGCACTTCACTGGGAGTGTGCTACCGCCTAAAATCAGAGCGCCTCTCTTTCAGAGAGTTCTGAGGGCGTTCCCATCTGCTGTCTTATTAGTTCTCAAAACATGGCTGTGAGCTTGGGGTGGGGGAGGGTGCGTGGTATTTTTAGCTCCACCGTTCAGATTGTACTTTATAACCCAGATGGACGCGTCTGACGATCTCTCCACAGGCTCAGGGACGTCAAAGTAGCCAAAGTTTAGAAAAATGTAAGCTTTTATATATATTTTTAAAAGCTTTAGAGTCATCATAGTGTGAAAATTCAGAACTTTCCTGCCATCTTTCTCATGCTGCTTTTTTTTTTAATTAATATATTTATTTATTTTTAAAATTTGCTGTAAGGCCTGTGTACTCACCAGAAAGACAGAGTCAGACAGGGGTAGGAGAGAGTGAGAAAACAAGCCACACAAGGTCCAGGACTCGAACCACGGCCAGCCATGTGGGAGTCCAGTGCATTACCCGCCATGCCACCTGCTGGCCCCCTCATGCATTTTTACCCTGAGTGTTGCTTTTGTTTTGGATTGCACATAGGGAGGTGCCAGCAGTTTTTTTTTTTTTTTTTTTTCCTTACCACCTGGAGCCTCTAAAGTTCTTAATTTGGCTCTGGTTTTTGTCCCCTCTCATGAAGTCACCCAGAAACTAAACCAAGATTAGGAATCCGTGTGCCACAGGGCTAGCGGGTGGCATGGTGGTTAAGGCACTAGATCCTGCATGACCAATGGTGTGGTTCTTTTTTTTCTTCTTCTTCTTCTTCTTCTTCTTCTTCTTCTTTTTTTTGGAGAGGTTTTTGCTATAGGGCGCGTGCGCTCACCAGAAAGCCAGAGAGAGACAGAGAGACAGAAAACGAGAAATCACCACCCGGAGGGGATGGCCACGCCACAATCCCTTCTCCTCCATTCTCCTCTCGGAATCTTGGGCACGCACGCACACACGCCTGGTGTGAGTTTAAGCCACCGGGTCCAGGACTCAAACTGCGATTGACTACATGGGAATCCAGCGACACAGCCATTACACTAACTGCTGGTCCCCCAACGGTGTGGTTCTAGTCTAGGACCCAGTGGTCAGAAAAACACACCAAGTGTGTGTGCCTGTGTGCCCAAAATCCTGAGAGGAGAATGGAGTAGAAGGGAGTGCATCATGGCCATCCCCTCCAGGGGTGCTTTCACTCTTCCCCTCTTTTTCTGTCTCTCTCCTTTTGTCTCTCTCCTTTTCTTTCTTTTAAAAGAAAGAAAGAAAGACAGCAGTACGTTGGGGATAAACCACGAAAACATTGCATTTGGTTCTGGAGTGCCAGAGATCTGATGGGCTACAGAACGGGAGGAAGGGGTGCAGGGTGTGGCTGGCCCTGTGGAGGCTGTCCCTCCCTCTCTTTCGCATACACACATGCACACGCTCTACCACGACTAAAGAAAAAGATCACATTAAGGCAAAGCAACAAAACACAAAAAGTCACATGGTTCCTTTTTTTTTTGGAGAGGTGTTTGCTATAGGGCATGTGCGCTCGCCAGAAAGACAGAGAGAGGCAGAGAGACAGAAAGTGAGAAATCACCCCCAGGGGGGGATGGCCATGCCACAATCCCTTCTCCACTCTCCTCTTGGGATCTTGTGTGCATACACACACATGCGCCCAGCGTGAGGTTAAGCCACCAGGTCCTGGACTCGAACCATGGTCAACTACATGGGAGTCCAGCGGCATAGCCATTACGCCAACTGCTAGTCCCAGTTCCATTTATAAGAAATATCCAGAAGAAACACCTCCCTGAAGACCAGAAACAGACTAATATTGCAGGGGGAATAGGGGGTGGGGAGACGGGACAGGATGTTGAATGGGTCCACGGTTTTACTTTGGGGTAATGAAAATGTTTCGGAGCTGGACAGAAGTGATAGCTGTGTGCCACATGGATGTACAAAATGCTCTTTAAAATGATGACGTGACTTTCAGCTCAATCGGAAACCACAGAAAAGATTGGGACACAGGTTTTCCACTCACATTAAGTATCAGCCACTCGGTGGCCTCACTGTGGCAGACACTCCATAGCCAGGACCCACTCCCTGGGGAAGCAGAACGTGAGTAGGGAAGGGCATTGTCCCTTGCAGGGAGCAGCTGAGACACCCACGGCTTGAGGCATGAATGAGGCAAGTACTTCATGCCTCCCAGCCTGGACCTGTCCCCATAGGGCCTCTGACACCCCTGGTTCTCTGTCCTCCCAGGGAAGCGACAGCGAGTACGAGGTCGACTCGAACCACCAGAAGGCTCACTCCTTTGTCAACCACTACATCAGCGATCCCACCTATTACAATTCGTGGCGGCGACAGCAGAAGGGCATCTCTCGGGCACAGGCCTACGGCTACACGGAGAGTGACTCGGGAGAGCCGGACCACGCCATCAGCAACAGCAACAGCGCCCAGCCTGGCAGCCTCTTTCGGCCCAAGGCCAGTCGGACTCCAACGCCCCAAAACCCCCCGAACCCCTCGAGTCAGCAGAGCACCCTCTACCGTCCTCCCAGCAGCCTCGCGCCCAGCTCCAGGGCTCCCATAGCAGGATTTTCATCTTTTGTTTGACGTTGGAAGAGGAAAAAGAAAGAAAAATGGCACCAAACTCCTCCTTCACCCCTCCCCACATCGCCTGCCAGAAAACAGAAACACCAAGAAACCAAGTCAACTTTTCACCTCCCAAGTTTATTTGTCCAGAGATTCCAAGGCCAGAAAGCCGGTGTTGAGAAAGAGAAGACCGTGTTGGTCAGCCTTGAGACCGTGGGGTTTGCTGCTCCCTGGGGAATGCAGAGGCTGGGACAGTGGTGTTCCAGTGCTGCAATGGATGCCAAGGGGGTCGGCCCCGGAGGTGGGGCACCTAGGACAGGAGGCATAGCCGGGGACCGCGAAGCCTCTGGCCGTCCAGCCCACTGCCTGCTTCCGGCACATGCTGGATCCTTGGGCCCACGCCCGCTGCTCCTTTGCAAAAGGACGGGTTTCCAGGAGGCGAAACTCCCTTCTCTCTCTGCGCCTTGTCCTCCCTACCATGCCAGGAGGTGTGACATGACCTTGCCCAAACCTGGCCCTGCCTCAGTGTCCACTGCCCATCGCCCTTACTCAACTTCTCCACCAAGCATTTGGCTTATTTAGAAAAAGGAAAAAAGAGAGAAACTAGAAGGTGAGACTTTGCTTAGCTTCTTCCTTGTCCCCACATGCGTTGTGATCGTGGATCTGAGGAAGAGAGTTCCGAGGAGAGGTCTAGGAGAGGGGTCCCCCCACCCCCTGAGCCCGGCATCCCTTTGCTTCAGTTCACTTTCCTGAGCCTGGGAGTGGGGCAGAGGCGTGAGGTGGCCGGCTCAGGCTCTGTGGGTGATCTGCAATGGGAGAAGCAGCTTTGACGCCTCTTCCTTCCAGTCCAGGCCCCAACTGCCCATGCTCACCAAGGCGGCAGGAAACGGAAGCTGCTACATCAAGGAAGTGCAGCTTGTCTAGGCTGGAGGGCTAGGTGGAAGTGAGGGGTCATCTCTCGGGCAGATACCTTCCTCCTAACACACACACACATACACACAGACGTGCACGGACACACAGACACACACACGGACACACGGACACACGTCTTCTCCTATGCACATGCAAGGAGGAGCATCTAAGATCCTCTCCAAGAAAGCCCCTTTGGGTCCTCCCAGGAAACAGCACATTGGCTTTCAGACCTGTGCCCCTGTCCCTCCACAGTCCCCGGGAACCGAGAGGGAAGGTGGCCACATCGCCGGGCCAGAGGCCAGAGCACCCAAACTTTTCCCAGTCTGCTCGGCCACAGTTTCAGAGTCGAAGAACACCCCGACCCCCAGTGACATCTTCCAGGGAGGGAGGCGTGGCCAGTCAGGACGCCCAGTCCAGAGTGGCCACAGCTCAGAGATGCCTGCCAGACCCTCCAGGAAAGGGGAGGTCTGCTGGAACCCAGGCCCAGAATAGCTGAGGGAGGAAAAGCGTCTCCACACGTGCGATCTGCTCCAGGGAATGCTCTCTAAAAAGCCGCTCTGGCGGCCTGGACCTTCCCATCAGCTGGAGGCTTTCACAGGCCAGAGTTTGGGAGGGGCCCTTGCTGGCTCCCTGGGTTGTGGAGGCCCCTGGGTGACCCCAGGCAGCCCTACAATCAGCCCGGCCCCACCCCCACTGCCTGGGATGGTTGACTGCCTCTCTGGGAGAGGAGTGGACCCAGCGGGGACTCCTGCCTTAGGGGGGCCCCTTAGTGAGACCCACTGGTGCGCCCAGCACAGGCCTGGCTGGCCAAGAGGAGGGTTGGAGAAGGCCACATCAAAGGGTTGGGAACCAAGCCAAGGGAAGAGAGGGCCTGCACCCCTCCCCACCAGCCCCCCAGTCAGCTACTATGCCTGTGGTGGGGCTGAGAAAAGGGGACACCCAGCCCCAGGCTCCTCAGGACACACTTGACCCCAGTGAGGCGCACAGGGGTGTTGGCAGCCAGTTCAGTGGGCAGGCGGGCCCGGCTCCATGTCCCCCCCCTACCCCGTGGTTCTCTGCCCACGGGGAAACTTCCCCCCAAAGGCAGACAAAGTGCTGAGCTTTGGGTCCTAGGACTAAGGTGCTGGGGGCCTCTCACCGGGGACGCTGCCACCCCGCCCCACACGGGCGTCTCCATAGCAGCACATCTGCAGCTGCCCACGTGTGAGCTTGCAGTCGCACTGCCTTTGCGGTCCGCTCATTTTTTTTTTTTTTTTTTTTTTTTTTTTTTAAAACAACTTCATCTTTTCCCCTGTCTTCTGAGTATTTAACCATTTAAGGAAGTTCCCAGTTTGCATTAGGGAATTCTAGCCTAGCCCAGTGAGGGATTCTGGGGAGGAGGCCGGGGTGAGTGAAAACGTGTGTGTGTGTGTGTGTGTGTGTGTGTCTCTCTCTCGAACAGGACGCCCACTTTCCTCTGCCTTTAATGAACCACCTGGGGCACTAAAACATCTCCCTCCCCCTTCACACGCGCCCATTCACACCCATGCTGACACACATGTGCGGTCAGGGCAGTCCCCACACGTGCCTGGACTCACGCAGACGCACTGAATACAACTGGATGCGTGTCAGCAAAGCGGCTCTTGTGCCTCTCGCTGAGGGTTGCAGCTGTCTCTCCCCTCCGAGGCGCAGGTCCCGAGTGACTCGCACCTGGGGTGTGGCTGGGATCTCTTGTCTGAGAGGCTGAGGACGCTGCAAACCAGATTTTTAGACAAGCCTATGAGGCCAGGCTGGGCCCAAGGTCAAAGTCCTCCCTTGGTCAACACCCAGCTGTCTGACGTGTCTCCACTGCCCAGTTGTATCTGGAATCCCGGGTCTCCAGCCATGGAACCCTAGAATTTTTAAGAAGACATCTCTTTGCCCTCATTTACATATCTGCTGGGGTGGTGGAGGCACCCAACCCTCCTCCCAAACACCCAGCCACACTACAAGGGGGTAACAGGTGTGACCCAGGGGTAACAGGCCCAGGGGTTCCTGGCCTTTGACTTCCCGGGTCAATGCTGCCAGGGCCCCACCCATGTGACTGCCCCCAGCAAGTCCACCAGGACACACCTGGCATCTTTGGCCTTGCCTCACTGTGTCCTGAGGAAATCTGGGGGTGCCCCAGTATCCCGGGCCGGCACACCAGGGCCCCCTCTCGCTAAGCCCTCAGCGCTCACATCAGCTCTGCACCCAGACTGCCGAGACAAACCAAAAAGAGGCCCAGGGTTCTTCCAGAAGCACCTTCCTCCTAAGGCTGCAGGGACTTTGCAAACCCAGGCTGCCTCCCCTTCCGTCCTCTCCCCAACGCCCCACCCGCAAACCTGACACTGCCACAATTCAGAGGAAACAGGACACGGCAGGGACCACCCTGCCCGGAGCATGCTGCCTCGAGGCCTTCTGTGGCTGCCCACACTTCCCTGGGCAGTGCTTCTAAAGGTGCCAGATCCTTGCCATAGTGCCACTCTGGGCAGGGGCCCCCCTCAGGGTCCCAGAGCGAACGTCTAGAGGTCCCCACACTGGATGGGGGGCTAGTGGGCAGGTGGAGGAAAGGGACTGTCAGCAGCTGCCTCCGGTTCCTCTGGGTGTCCTGTCCGGAGCTCCCACAGGCATGTCCTCACAGTAATCCTGACCACCACTCTGAGCACGGGGGCTCCTTGGGACCACCCCCTTTCTCGTTTCTATGAGAATAACCAAAAGCATTAAAACGTGGTATCTTTCTTCACACATAGAGACTCCAAAAACGAAAATCACAAATCTTTATTTTTTGATTTAGAAGATATAATGAAAAAACTATGGGGAGAGTATTCATTATGGCAGGGGGGTGCACTCTGAGCACGGGGGCTCCTTGGGACCACCCCCTTTCTCGTTTCTATGAGAATAACCAAAAGCATTAAAACGTGGTATCTTTCTTCACACATAGAGACTCCAAAAACGAAAATCACAAATCTTTATTTTTTGATTTAGAAGATATAATGAAAAAACTATGGGGAGAGTATTCATTATGGCAGGTGTCTGTCTGTAAGAAAAATATATATCTATATGTCACATAGCTTGTTAGCAGGTTTATTTTTTAAATGAAAGGTAAGAAAGAAATTGATTTGAAATATATACCACGAGAAGTCCCATGTCCTGTCAAACTGTCAGTATTTTATAAATAAACTTTTTTTTTTGGAATTCTGAAGCAGCATTCATTCTTTTTGCTACCTGGAAGACGAATCAGGATCCTTATCCTGGTAATACGCACACACCAGCTGTTCCCCACATACCATTTTCAGGCATGCTGAGCTTTTGCCAAGACAGTCTAGGGTCCGACATCGCTGCTCCCCTGATTCACAGGCCCGTGGGTGTCTGTGCCTACGAGGAAACTGCACCATCATTCTTACTTTAAACTTCTAGGATACAGTCTCTCGGAAACATTATGCAAATGACAGGGATTCGTTTTAATACTCGTAGTAGCAAGAGCTGACACGCACATGGCGGTCACTCTGTGCCAGGCAGTGTTCTAATCACCCTCCGTCTAGGATCCCATGGCGTCCTTGTGACAGTCCTCTCGCAGGGAAACGGGAGCAGAGTGAAGGGACTTGCCCTCGAGGAGTGGTCCTGCCAGGATTCACACTCAAGCCTTCTGGCTCCAGAGACATGGACGCCCTCTCTGGTGTCTTAAGGCTGGCTTCTTGCCCATTTTCATTTTAATGTCTACCAAGCTAGCACCCTGGGCACCGTGAGGACCGCGGTGTTGGGGGGCTCTACCCAGCAAATCCGCCAGGGTAGAGTCAGGGCTAGAGGCTGCGTGTACCCATGTTGCTGCGTCCTACCTCATTCATCTCACATAAATGAAGTCAAATGAACTCCCACAAGAGACAGAGCCTGGGGATGTGGGGCCCCCTTTGTGGTGCAGCGGTAATGCACCGCTCAAGAGAAGCCAGACTTGGGATGAGCAGGTGGTGTAGTGGTTATGTCGCTGGACTCCCATGTGGTTGACCACAGTTCAGGTCCCAGATCTGGTGACTCAAATCATGATAGGCACATGTGTGTGCATGCTCAGAATCCTAGGTCAGGAGGCGAAGGGATTATTATGGTGTGGGGGCGAGGGGCTATGATTTTCTGCTTTCTCTCTGTCTCTCTCCAGTGAGCGAACACACCCTATGCAAAACCAAAAATAAATACGCAAATGAATAAGCAAATAAATTTTTTAAATATTTTTGAAGAAAAGAGAATCCAGATCCTCATGGTAACCAGGGTTTGACTCCCGAACCCACTCAGCCCAAAATCCCCTGGCATGTGTGTGAGCCCACATGGCGTATGGGCGAGAAGACTGGCAGAAGGGGGTCGTGGTGTGACCAGACCCTCTCTCTCTCTCTCTCACATTCTCTTTCTCTGATGTGCATGCACACATGTTCTGTCACGAAGAAAGAAAAAATAGTAGATGTAATGCCACTCAGTGAACGTTAATATTTTATAGTCTACATTTTTATACAAAGGACAGCATACAGGGCTCTGTGGCCTGGTGGTTAAGGGAACTGGATCCCATCAGGTTCAAATCCCAGCCCCAGTGGCTTGAAAACACTCTGGGTACATATGCATGCATGCCCCAAATCCAGACAGGATGGGGAAATGGAAGAGAAGGGGTTGCAGCATGGCCATTCTCCGTTGGGGTACGTCATTTCTCTTTATCTCTCTGTCTCTCCATTTCTGTCTCTCTCTCTCTGGTGTGCCCAAGCACCCTCTGGCAACTAAAAAAAATAAGAAAAGAAGAACACCAGACATTTTATACAGACAATGCTCAGCTAATCAAAACACAAAGCAATTGGGACCAGCAGTTAGCGTAATGGCTATGTCGCTGGATTCCCATGTAGTTGACCGTGGTTCAAGTCCTGGACCCTCATGCCAGGCATGTGTGCGTGCGTGCCCAAGATCCTGAGAGGAAAATGAAGGAGAAGGGATTGCGGCGTGGCCATCCCCCTGGGGGTGATTTCTTGCTTTCTGTCTTTCTGTCTCTTTCTATCTGTCTGGTGAGTGCACGCGCCCTATAGCAAAAACCTCTCAAAAAAAAAAAAAACACACACAAAGCAGTTAAATATATTTATATATCTTATGATGTGTGATATGTTATGAAGTATGATAAAGCTATAAGAGGAGGGCTTCAAGCAGTTCATGGAAAATGCATATAATTTAAAAATTCATATTATGTATTTCAAGACTTTTGTACCAAAATCAACTCACACTTTAATTTCATTTTTCCACAAACTCTTGGACGTTCCCTTGTGTGTATGTATCTTAAACACTTTATTTTTACTTAAAAACATACTAATGTAAATTCATTCACCAATCTGTTCGTGCTGGGCTGTGGCATTATTCTTTTTTTAAGAATGGGCACAAAGTCTGGAATCTTTATTATTGCCTGCCTTACATACATCTCACCCATGTGCATCACCCGAGCACTTCCATTCGTTTCTCCCGAATAAAGCGTGAGCATACAGAAACCACAGACTGCTACAAGACCGGACTCTGAGATTTCATCTTTTCCTAAGATCTTACTTCTTACCCAGGACTAATTAAACTCTCTTATTTTTTGCAATTTTCCTTTACCAAAGCATTCAAGATCGTTTTCAGAGAAACCACTATTCTTTTTTTCCACTCTTATTTTATCCACTGACATCATATTTAATTAAATTATGTGATTACTATAAAAAGTCCAACTGGCATAAACAAGTTCGGGGGCAGTGGTAGCTGACTCTTTGTAAACCGACAACTCGCTTTGGGAGGGGCAGAAGCACACAGCATAGCAGAGAGCAGCCTGCCACGCACAGCGTCCGGGTGCCGTGGGCATCTGCGTGCTTCGCAGAGGAAATGCGGGGCATCCATGAGGACCTCTAGTCGGCTAAGTGGAGGTCGGATAAGACAGCTTCTGTTCCGAGGACAGTACAAACCACTCGTACTGTACTTTCTAACCTGTCTTCAAGTTCATTTTTGAGTCGAGGGTAATTTTTAACTACACATAATTTTTATCGTGTGCGTCACTTGGAACCTCACCCCCACATTAGAAGGAAGTTCACCCCTGCTGCTCTGAAAATGTTTGCTTAAAGGACAGTCACCTGGAAAACATTCCTGCCCTGGAGTCAGACGAGTGGGTTCTGATCCTAGCGTGGTCCTTTGCAAATGGGGAGACTTCGCAGTGCCTTTTCTCAGCGATCTCAGATTTGCCACCAATTAGATTGTTGTCAAGATCAGATC